GGGCCTAGATAATTGCCAATACTATTTTGGGGGTTCCTTATTATAGTTATAGTATAATCGACCCCCAAACCCTGTTCTAATTATTACGGTCCCTATATTACATTCTTCTAGGGGTTACAGTGCTACAGGGTATCTCATTCTTCTAAATTATAGTGCTATAGGGTGTATACCCTCCTAGGGTTCATAGAACCTCTAGGGTTCATTATAGCCTGTAGCTTTGCGGGGTTTGTAGGGCCTTCGGGGTGGTGTGTTCGACGACCATAATCATCACCATCGTAATCGTCATCGCCATCACGCCCAGCATCAGCATCAACGGCTGCAGCAGCAGATGCTGCAGCATCGTTTCAGCCAACAGCCGAAAACTTGCAGAAACAACCACAGGTTGAAAGAGGTGTGTTTCAAGAGTTGGATAGCCTTTAGCCACATTTCGGCCAACAGGTTTGGGGCTTCGGGGTTACATGGCCCGAGCTTTCGGAGCATAGGCACATGCAGATTGGTGCTGCCAAGCTGCCTTCATCCAACTCCCCAGATGTGTTCATCATCGTGGGCATGTCGCCTGGGATGTGCCAAATATGGGAGGTCAGAAAATGAGGAACACAATTCCCTTACGTGCCTGACACAATCAGGCCATAATGCACACCAACAACCTGACACAAATTTTTAGCCAGCGACAGTATGCCCCAAAGCCGCAAAGGCAATCCTCCAATATGGAGATCTATTCTGACCTCTCTTCATCATGCGCAAATAACGGCCCTAAACCCTAGTTTCTGTAATTTACCAAAGTAATATTCTGCTTTGTGTTTTGCAACAGCTTGAAGGAAGAGTTCAACGCTCGGCGGCCATGTAATCTGTGAAACCTTAAAGTATAGGTTTGGGGGCTTCAAAGCCTATGAGTTTAAGAGATTAAGATCTTGGGGTTTAGAGTTTACCCATAAAGTAGTTCCTTTTTTTGGGGGTTCATATTTTGGAATCCTATAAGGTAATTCCAAAAGGAACTACTATGGAGCCCATGGGTAGGGATTGGTTTAGGAGACCAGGAACTCGACCCTCAAAACCCTGGCCCAGCACCCTGGCTAAGGTTTAGGGTTTAGGGTTTAGGGTTTATAGGGTTTATAGGGTTTAGGGTTTAGGGTTTAGGGTTTGGGGTTTAGGGTTTAGGGCTGACAACTCGACAGCCTGAACCCAACGACCCAAAGCTTAGATTCAAAAACCTCTAAGCCCCCGAGTTCCTAAAGGCCTTGTAAAAGACACCGCTATTGCAAGACCTTCTGGAGCAAATCGTTCCAGTGAGTGGCTGCCAACAGGATCCTGGATCACCTCCTCTGCGGCAAGGCCTCTCAAAGCGCTGAACCCGAAGGATTTAGGCTTCGGGTTTCGGGTTAGCTGTTAACAGGCATTCTCGGGCTCCGCAGGTGTCTGGGGATTTGTGTTTCGGTTCGTGTCGGTGTTGTAAGGCTTATAATGCAATTTCGAAACAGTGTGGGGATAAGACCTAGTAATCATGCAAGGGCAGCTACGGGTTATCGAGCTTCCCAATATCATGGCTTTGGGACAAAACCCAGAGGCCGAGACAAGCACGCAGGGTTTAGGGTTAGGGCCTGTAGGGTTTACGGCTCAGGACATCGTCTGGTCTCATCTCTTCTCATTTTATTGATCTTAAATGTTGTCGGCACTGTGGCCGTCATTCTTGATGGTACCGCTGCGAAATACCCTAAACCCTAACCACTAAACCCTAAATCCAAACCTGTCCTGAACCCTGATCGGCCCCAAACCTGAGCCAACGACCAGAAGAATTGATTCGCACCAGCAAACCCCGCCCGAACGCCAACCCCAAACCCGCTACACCAAAACCTAAAACCCCAAAAAAAAACCCAAAACCACAGAACCCTAAACTTTGAAACCCTAAACCCTAAACCCTAAACCCAAGCTCTTAAACCTAAACGGACACCTCAAACGAGGGGCGCCTTCCGGTACGGCCTGTTCTTCGACAGCTGCCCTGCAGGATCGGGTTACTTTCAGAGGGTTTATAGGGTATGAGGAGCCACGGTTTAGGGTTTAGGGTTTAGGGTTTAGGGTTTAGGGTTTAGGGTTTAGGGTTTAGGGTTTAGGGTTTAAGTATAAGGACTTACTATCAACGGCTACTGCTGCCCGGGCTACTGTAAGGTTTAGGGCTTTGGTGGCGTTGTTCGCATGCTTTCTCCTGAGGCGACGACGGCTGAGAGCGTCTAGGATTCGGGTTTGAACTCTAACCCTCTAACCTCGAAGCCCTATACTCCGAAGTCCTGAACCCTATATCCCTAAGCCCTCTACCCGGCACCCTATACCCCCTAAACCTTATACTCTCCTAAACCCCACGCCCTAAAATCGGCAAGTTCCCAAAGCCCTGAACCCCCTAACCTGAGGACGTCGGTTTCAATATAGGGGCCTTAATAATCAGAAGATGGTTTTGGGGACCATTACACTATAACTATAATAAAGAACCACACAAAACAGTATTCGTAATTTTTTAGGCCCCTACATTACACCCCATCATACTATACACCCTAAACCCTGAACCCTAAAACCCTAAACCCCAAACCCCAAACCAGGACGTCGGTTTTAGATTTCCGGCTCAGGGTCCCCCATTTCCAGGGTTTCGGCGGGAGGGCTCGGTGTGCCGAGGGTGCAGTAGCGCATATAGTATAGAAGCCGGTTTAGGGTTTAGGGTTTAGGGCTAAATAGCTAGAATAAGGCTTTGGAGCCCATTCTGCTATCATTATAATAAGGAAACCGCAAAAAATAACACATTCTAATTATTAAGGCCCCTACATAACCCTGAAAAAACATCTCAGGGTGTATTAAGGGTTTGGGGTTTAGGATGCAGGTGCAGTAAGGTTTGGGGTTTCGGATTCAGGTGCATTAAGGGTTTGGGGTTTAGGAATCAGGACTTAGGGTACAAGGTTAGGGAGTTTAGAGATTCACGTCCCAAGTCCTCAACCCAACTCGTCGAATCCTGAAATCGGGACTGAGTTGGGAAGCTGAACAAGCAGACGAAGGGCAGGGAGTGAAAGGATACAGCACACCAAAAATCATGAAACCTTGTACCCAGTAAACAAGCCTGTCACCCCAACCGAAACTCTAAACTCTGCGACGACATCCCTCTGCGCAAGGACTGAATCCCTGAACCCTAGAGTGGAGCCTGAACAGTAGGCAGGGCAGGTAGGGTGATGATCAACAACAGTGGCAAGTGCCAGCCATGTAAGCAAACAGCATCAGCCCGAGAATACATACAACTTTGTTGCCGATGCTGCTGTTGTGCTAGTATCACCATCCGTGCCAAGGATTGCAGCATTGCAGCTAGAGCTACTTCTACGATTCTACGGTTACAAATGGTGTTACGATGCTGAGGGTCCTTGATGCGGTTACCACTCAGGTCACAGTTCTAGGGCCTACTTCTGTCAAGCATGAGATCGACATTCCTGCTGCGTGCCAACACTGACGGTAGCATTGTCTTTCACCGTTAGCAAGTACTGAATACTACTTTATCAACATATCCACAATATGATTATCCGGAACCATGAGGCATAGAGGCAGGTCGTATGACACCAGTCCGTGTGACCAGTTCGTGAAGCATGCAGACACGGCCTGTGAGGACGGAAACTTATAACTCTAGTATACTGGGCCCCCAAAGCCCATTCTAATTATAAAAGCCCCTATAGTATCAGCACGAAGCGAGAGAAAGTCATGGTTCGGGATCTAAAAGTCCTGCTTGGGTCTGGGGTCCTATACTTCAAGCATACGATCCCGGCCTGCTGTCGTCGAAATCCTCGATCCGATCCTCCTCCTCGAATTCCTCAATCTTGTCCTCCCGATGCGCAGGAAGTGCACGGTACCCCAAACCTTAAACCCAAAACACCAAACCCCGGTTTCGGGGTTTAGGATTTAGGGTCAGGGCCTTATAAGGGGTCTTTCATATGACTGGGGCCTCCACGTGTTCAGATTATTTCCCACATCAAAGGCAGAGTCTCCAAAGACTGCTCCCTGGCGTCCCAAGCCTCAAGTTGAGTTTTGAGGGCTTTTGGTTTAGGCTTTTAGGTTTAGGATTTAGGGTTTAGGGTCGAGGGTTTAGGGTTTAGGGTACTTGCAGCAGCACGAGTTGCCTCAAGCCCCAGCATAGCAAACCCCGAACGCCAGCCTCGTCGCCGCAACCCTGCACACAAGCTTAAACCCCTAGACCCTACACCCTCTGGAACCCAGAATGATATGTTTATTATTGGCACTCTCAGATTCAACCGGCTCAACCCCCGAAGCCCCAACCCTAAACCCTCTTTAGCAAACGGTGCCTCAACATCGCTGTCGAGCTGAGCCCCATCGCCGAAGAGTGCCTCTCGATCTAAGTGCTCGTTTCTGGCTTTCGGGTGGTAGGCTCTGGGGTTGCGGGTTTAGGGGCTCAGGGTTTAGGGTTTAGGGTTGCGGGTTTAGGGGTGCAGGGTTTCCCTACACTCTGTAATAATCGATACTGAGGTCTCATGCCTTTTGAATTCCAAAAGCAGTCCATACTCGCTGAACCATCACTCATCAGTCACCATCCATTGCGATTATTACCATGGTGTTGGTGATAAACGTTGTTGTGGTTATGATGATGATGACGACGATGATGATGACAGCAATGACTAGGTGACTAGAGTGGCGCAGGCGCTGATGCTGATGATGGTGCCATCTTCGCGATCATTACTACAGCGAGCGTCGGTGTGACAAACACTCACTATCTCCCTCGTAGGCGATGGCCAGCAGCAGAGTGCTCATGAGGCTGTGGTGATGTTTCCGAGGACACCCAAATCGAAACATCTTGTACGAGCTTCGTAATTAATAGCCGCAAGCGAGGAAACCCCAAGGTAACCCTCCAAAAAACTCACAACAGCCTACAACAAGGGTCTGCGCTAAGAACCCGAATCAAGCTTTCTCAAGCCTTAACCTGAAACCCGTAAACCCTAGACACCACCCAGAAAGGACTAGGCTTCCAAGCAATTCGGGCCTCCAAATTGTCCGGCACTGTGCCTGACGGCTCTTGCACAGGCTCCTGAATATTTTGGGCTCAATCAATGGGGTTTAGGATGTAGGGCTGTGGCTTTGATTTTAGGATTTGGGCTTTAAGGCTTTAGGGTTTAAGGTTTAGTTGGATTTAGGGTTCAGGGTTGAAGACTTAGGGTTAAGAGTTTAGGCTTCAGGGCATATAAGGGTTTGGCTAAACCCTAGAAACCCTGAACCCTAGAACCCCCCTAGAGACCCTAAACCCTGAACCCTAAACCCTAAACCCTAAACCCAAAGCCCGAAACCCTAAACATCAGACGAGCCCAGGAGTCGGGCACGAGAAAACCCGAGGACCCTGCGAGTCAAGACCGAAGGACCAGGGCACCGACCATCGATCGAACAAGAAACCGCTTTGGGTTTCTAGGGGTTTAGGGTTTGGGGTGTTTGGGGATCAGGAACTGGGGTTTGGGGTTTAGGGTTTAGGCGTTTAGGGTGTGGGGTCTAGGGCTTGGGGTTTAGGAATTGGGGTTTTCGGTTTCGGGTTTAGAGCTTGGGGTGTAGGGGGGTTGCGGTTTCGGGACTTAGTGTTTGGGGCATAGAGGTATCACCGACACGCTTTGGGACGGATCTAGCCGAAGCCCTACGTCCAAATACCCCTGAAGCCTGAACACGAAAGCCTTCATCGTCCTCTGCATCGACGGCTTCAGAGGCACGGGGTGCCTCCTTGTGCTCTTGCTTCTGGACCTGAAGCACCGGTTGCAATCTTCTGTATACTCTGAACCCGGTAAAGCCCCAAGACTTAAAACCCTAAGCTCCAAACCCCAAACCCTAAACCCTACACCCTATAAGCCCCAAACCCTATGAACCCTCAAACCCCAAACCCTATAAGCCCCAAGCCCTATAAACCCTAAACCCTAAAACCCTAAACCCTATAAGCCCCAAACCCTATAAACCCTACAGGCCCCAAACCCTAAACCTTATAAGCCAAAAACCCTATAAACCCTACAAGCCCCAAGCCCTAAACCTTATAAGCCCCAAACCCTATAAACCCTACACCCTAAACCCTGAACGTTAACTGGTTTCACTGCTACGGCTTTCTAAGAACCAAGCAGCTCCACCGGTCCTGGAAGTAACCCGCTAGTCGAATCTCTTCCAGAGCCTCCATATGTACTACCAACGGTTTAGGGTTTAGGGTTTAGGGTTTAGGGTTTAGGGCTACCATGTATGGAATTAGGTCCCAAAAGACCATCCAGATTACGGGTTCTGGGGACTTAATTCCATGATCACAGTATATCTGGAGCCTCTAGGTCTGCAATCTCGGGTGGCTCACACTCGAAAAGCTGCCGCGGACTCACGGAAGCTTTAAACCAAGAAGCCTGTGACCAGCCAAGTCAGAGGGATGAGCAGCACTCTAAGAGCTACACTTCATCGAACTCCTGCAGTCCTCAATCGCCAAACTCCAACGAGCCAAACAAACAAAAAACAACCCAAAACCCCAAAACCCTAAACCCTAAACCCGAGCCCCTAAACCCTAAACCCTGACCCCTAAACCCTAAACCACCCTAAACCCCAAAGCCGCCTCCCAGGCATCCGGCGGTGGGATCAAGCTGCGCAGCTCGCCGGCTGGACAGCGATGGGTGATGGGGCCGTCCAAGTGCCCAAAACCTTGACCCTAGACCCTCCTAACCCGACACACCATGTAGGTCCCATGATACGCCTTCTGACGCCTAAACCCTAGAACACCCAAGCCAATAAATTGCAAAGGTGTCCACGAAGACTAAGCTGTATCATGACCTCAGACAATGATATGGGCAGGGTATCCACATCTTTGCCTAGCCAAAGCCGCTAAGGTATAATGGCTGTTCTGCGTGAGCTGCCTTCTTGGGCCGCTTTAAACAAGGTAATATGAAAATACCATCTTAAACCAGCGACACTGAGAGGGAACCCTGATACAGAACGACCTCATTTTCACACACTTCAGTCTCCAGGGCAAGGGTTTGAGGACCCTAAACCCTAAACCCTAAACCCTAAACTCTAAACCCTAAACCCTAAACCCTAAACCCTAAACCCTAAACCGCAGCTTGCTTTCTTTCCATGGCCCCAAAGCCTTCTAACAAAAAGCAACCCCGCGTGCCTAGGGCTGCAAAACTGGACCCCCCCCCGAGTCCTTACCCTACCTGGGGATCCGGAAACAACTGCTTTAAGGGGGTTTAGGGTTTAGGGTTTAGGGTTTAGGGTTTAGGGTTTCGAAACAACCCCTGAGGGTCCAAGTGCCCATTATTTAAGGACTTTGGGGCCTTTTGGGGATCCAGAAACAACCCCTAAGGGTCCAAGTGCCCAATTAAAAGACTTTGGGGCCTTCTTGGGCACTTAAAACCGTAAATAAGGACTACTTGGACCCTTAGGGAACTGCTTTAAGGGCTATAAGGTTTGGAGCGACAAGTCGGCCCTACATAAACCCTAACCCTGCGCTCAGGGTGGATGAAACCTGGAGGGCGAAACCTCGACGAACCGAGAACTTCCCACAGAGACCAGCACCCCTGATTTGCGGCATTTACATGCCGTAACTCACAATTACAAGCCGGCAGCTACATCAGGGTTTAGGGTGTAGGGTTTAAGGTCTTAGGGCATCCTTTGAGGAACATTGGACTCTTTAACTTGTCTCTGCAAAGGACTTGGCCTTGCTTCGCAGGTGTTCCACTTCGCCGACGCTTTGCATTCCTGCATCGCAAGATCCCTATACACTTGGATCCTAACCATAACATTGAGGAGTAGTCAGATCAACAACAACAACTACTACCAATATTTGTAATCATACTAGTAATCATACGACTTTTGTTAGTTGTCAACCATACGACTTTTACTGGTTGTAGACGAGTAGTAACCCGATGGGGTTTCATGAGGGTTCCATCCGGGTTATTGTATGGGTTCTATAAAGGTCTGGTGAGGTTCTACAGAGGTTGCTAAAACCTGCTACAAGAGTGCTTAGACGGGCTTAAGTTTTCGTGGTATGCGGCAGTGAGCCCCAAAAATGTGGAACATGGATTTTGCATGATGACGGTAGCGCAGGGATTTCCATCCCTCTCCCACCCTGAACCAGTGCAGGTAACCATAGCGCATGGACAGGTCTATACATGACTTTGTAAGGTCCTTCTGCGTGAGGGTTCCTTGCAAGCTATGTACATTACCATAAATCTCCGCCTATGTTGTACGGACTTCTTGCGAGCACGACCCACCCGAGCCTGACCCAAAGCCACCCCCGTCCAGAAGTGAACCAGCACTCCCAACGTGGTTGGCGGCGCCTAAACCCTAACCCCAAACCCCAAACCCTAAACCCTGAAACCCTAAACCTTAAACCCTAAACCCTAAACCCAACGTGCTTGGCGGCGCAAGGCCTGGAGCCGGGAGTTCGGGTTAGGGAGCGCTTGTATCTTAAACCCAACTCTCAAACTTGAACCAGATCTCTTCCCCTTAGCATCAAAATAGCCCAAAAGCCTTATGGAATAGGGTCCTTGGGCCCAAAAGCCTTAAAATCTAAGTCCTTTGAGGGTAAGGGTTAATGTAGAGGCCTTAACACTTAGAATAGGGTTTTGGGGCCCACTACAGTATCTTTATATTAATTAAGCTTCTATATTAGCCCAATTCCTAATTCCTATTTGCTAAACCCTAAACCAATTCCTCAACCCTCAACCTTGCCTCACTGTCGCAAAGGCACGGCAGCGCCGCACGTGAAGTGACTCCTGACAAAACATGCCAACAAGCTGTCAGCTAGGCTCCTGCATGTACCTACTCTTTGTACCATAAACCCTCAACCCCAAACCTTGTTGCTAGGTGCTCTTGGCACCACCCAATCTGCACTGCGGCAGGGGTACACGTTCTGCTTGCTCTTGCCATTTTTACATCTCGGTGTTTGAATTTGTTGTTTGATTGCTCAGTCTTGCTGCTGTTCTCTCAAGTGCTGCTTCCTTGACTGTGTCGGCACTAACGTTGAAATCCTGCTGACCTGCGCCTGCGAATCTGATGATGCGGGCGTGGAAGACCTAGGGCACACAAATAGTCCTGCCCCACGCCAACATGTTGATTCAGATCGCGATTCGGAAAGTCGATGCCACGGATGCTGTCACAGCTGGTGAAAGTTATGCTGCTGATGAGGGCTAAGCTTTTAAGACTTGAGATGATACCGGATATCCCTAACCCAAAGCTTTGGGGCCCTAAAAAGCACTTATCAATAAATCAGGTACCTCTACGGAAACCATAAAAGGAGCTTAAGCAATTTCCCAAAGTGCCACCTAGTAAACCCCAAACTAGACCAGTAAACCCCAAACCTAACCTAGACCGTACAAGTACGTCCCAAACCCAAATCCCTAAACCCTGAAAAAACCCTAAACCCTCAACCCTAAACCCTAAACCCTTATAAACCCTAAACCCTGAACCCTAAACCCTAAACCCTAAACCCTGAACCCTAAACCCGAACCCCCCACAAAGGGCTCCCGACCTCCATTCGCTCGCAGCAGAACTCGGAGACCCGCTCTGCAGGGAGCTGAACGTAGAGAGCTGCTTCCAGCTCCTGTCAGGTTCTTCTGGTTTAGGGTTTAGGGTTTAGGGTTTAGGCTGCCAGAACGGATAGAGGAGCCTTCATGATCGGAATACGGCTTTAAGGATACTGCTGTAAATATCATAAAGAACCCCTAAGGAATAGTAGAACTACTTGTTGAGGCTTCTATCTAAATCTAGACTTTCGTCAGGGCCTAGGTCGCGATGTAACCCTTAACCCCAATTCCCACAAGGGCTTAGGGCTTTAGAGCTTTGGGGTAGAACTTTGAGGCTTTGGGGTTTTGGGCTCCGGGGCTTTAGGGTAGAACTTTGAGGCTTTAGGGCTTGCGCAAGATCCTGGGCTGCTGGTATCAAAGGTCTCCGTATGGGTCTCTAAAGAAACTTTTGGGTCTGCTCACACCCTTTCTTACAACCCACGGCTATCCTTCACAGCGCTTCTGAACCCCACAGACGCCTGTTAAAGGTCCTACCGGGGTTTATGGGGTTTATGTAAGAAAACCCTGAACCCTAAAAACCCTAAAACCCTGAAACCCTAACACCCCTAACACCCCTAAAAGCCCTCAAACCCCTAAAACCCCCACAACCCCCAAAACCCCTAGCCCTAACACCTACAGGGCGTAGGTCAAGATAAGGAGCCTAAGGCTCGACCCTTAAACCCTAAAAACCCTAACTCCCCTAGAACCCCTAAAACCCCTAAAAACCCCTAAAACCCCTAAAAAACCCTGAAACCCTAACAGCTACAGGGGTTTAGGGTTCAGGGGGTTTAGGGTTTAGGGTTTAGGGTTCAGGCATAGCCCTAAACCCGAGATCCCTAAACCCTAAAGGGTTTAGGGTTTAGGGTAAACCCTAAAGGGTTTTAGGGTTTAGGGTAAACCCTAAAGGGTTTAGGGTTAATCCCACAAATAAACCCAGAACTCTAAACTCCGCATCCCTAAACCCGAAACCCCGAAGCCTTAAGCCCCCCTAAAAGTTGAGCCCTGCAGCCGCCTGCGCCAAGTCTCGACCGAAGCCGAGACTGCAAAGCACCTCGACCTCAGGCTTTAAAGGTTTAAAGTTTAGGGTTTAGGGTTGTGGGTCCCATATTTTGGGCTTGGGGTTTCGGGCTTGCTTGGGTTTAGGGCATAAAGCTTCTTTAGGGTTTGCTCATAGGGTGCAGGGTTCAGGGGTCTAGGGATTAGAGTTGGGGTTTAGGGTACATGTCGGGTTAAGGGTTTTTAGGTTTGGTTTGCGATTCAGGGTTGGAGGCCAAGGGGTCCATAGGTTTGGGTTCAGGGTTAACACAGGCATCTAAATTTATGTTCTGTCACAGCTTTCCTGCATGTGTGAGTAGCTACTGATCGTAGATGTGTTGCTTCGCGTAGTATTGCTGCTCCTGCAGTGCAGTGGAAGAAGTCGGCATGGACTTAGGTTTTCTGAGCGTCCTTAGACCAAGCATGGAAAAGGCGACGGAGAGGATGATGCTGATGATGATCATGCTGCTGATGATAGTGATGATTATGATAAGAAAGGAAGGACTGATTCTTGTCATGACAATGATCATGATGCTGATGGTCATGATGATCATGATGACAACGGCAAGAACGAAAATCAAGAAGATGCTGGATATGGTCGAAAACTACTAGTGCTAGGAGGATTGATTCAGAAGTATGACTGTGTGTCAAGCCCCATTCCCGTGCCTTGATCACCACAGTTCTGGCTTAGGTGTTGGCATTACTAATTCTGGCTTTAGCATTCGGGATCTTAGCTTGTTGCTTTAGTTACTGGGGTTGACCGAAATGACAAACATACCTATAAACTCCATATTACCTTGTAGTTCCATTGCGTTTACCCTATAGAATCCTAAACATGTAATTAATTGGTTGACCAAAAGTTGAATCTGCAATGGAGTAGTAGGGAGTGCGTTCAGAACCCAATTACATCTGAGTGCGCCGGTCTCTCGGGAACGCTCTGCATGCCAGGATGCAGCGTAGCGCCGCAACTGCACCAAGTCCTCCGATGCTGCACTCAAAACGTGCGGTTCGGCTTTAGTGGTATAAAACCCAACCCTCCTTAAATCCGGAACCGCCATAACCAATTCCAAACAAGAGCTCCGGGCGCCATAACTCCCAACCCAATGCTACAAGGTTTAGGGCTTAGGGTTTGGGTTGCAAGTTCGTATTCTGGCAACAGGGCAATTTACACTCCAGAGGGAGGCGCTTGTACTGCAATCGTAGTGTTGCTGCCAGTGCTGCTGGTTGTTGCTGTTGTTGTTCACGGTATAACTCGACTCGCAACACTAGAACCGGACACCTACACTTAAAACCCTAATTGCCCCCAGGGCCCGCTCTTGTCCCGAGGTACCACTTCATATCGCAGCCGAATCCTCAAGCGATGGGACCCATTGGCAACTAGCCTTCAGCGAAGTTAATCATGGGGACCTGGTGATCTAAGAATACAGATATTCCTTTATAGTCCCTATACCCCACACTCTGTCCCAATCTTTGAAGGCCCGTATATTGCACTTGACACCTGAAGATTGATGGGTTTAGTGCTCTGCCCCCCTCCCCAACTCTAAACCCCAAACCCTGAACACCTAAACCCTAACCCTTTAGGCCCGAAGCCCCAAACCCCAAACCCTAAACCTAAACCCAAACCCTAAACCCCAAACTCCCAAAACCCTAAACCCCTAACTCCTAAAAAAAACCCTTAAACCCTAAACTCTGAAGACCTAAACCCTACACCACTAATGCCCCTCGAAGCGGCCCGATGAAAGCGTGAAAGCCAGCTCTTGCGCAGCTTTGCCGAGGCAGCCCGCACCTGTCACAAAAGTTGTAAGGTCTAGGGATTTAGGGTTAAGGGTTTAGGGTCTAGGGCTTTTGGGTTCAGGGTTGAAGGTTTTGGGACTTTCCTGCTTTAGGGGTTAAGAGTTTAGGGTCTAGGGCTTTTGGGTTGAGGGTTGAAGGCTTTGGGATTGAGGACTTTAGTGCTTTAGGGGTTTAGGGTTTTGAGGCTGCAGGGCTTTGGGGGTTTGGGCCTCTGGGAACTGCTTAGGGGATGTAGAAAGTCGGTTGGAAGTAGTCGGGTGGAATAGTGCTACGGATACGGTACGGTAGTTACAGCCCAGTTATATCCTAATTACGAAGTCCCCAATGCCAAGACCCAAGACGATAAAACCCTTAACGTTGTACTATTGTTGGAAAGAGGTATCCGAGTGCCTGACATACAGGTTACGGCTTCATGGCTCAAGATATATTGGCATGTGGGGCATGGTTTAAGAGCTCCAGATTGCTGAAGTTGTTGGGGTGGCTTGAACAGGTCTTGGCATGCTTTTGCCGCGGAGGGCCCCGCAAACAGCGAGGTTGCACTCCAAACGGCAGAATAGCAATGCGAGGCTCGATACTGTGTTGAGCCCTAAACCCTAAACCCTAAACCGCAGACACGCACGACCTCCACAAACTGGAGAAGAGCAGCCCTGGGACCCTACTGAGTTCAACACATTCGGGTGCGCACATGGGTAGCTCTCTAAATTAGGGTCCCTTTGAGGGTCCTTTTTATAAGGGTGCCGTACTATATTGGGGACCCTAACTCAGAGAACTACCCACATATACATGGTCATATACTCCAAACCTTATACACTCTAAACCCGGACCCCCTGAATCCCCAAACCCTTCGCACAAAACCCCTAAACTCCTAAAAGCCCCTAAACCCTAAACCCTAAACCCTAAATCCTAAACCCTAAATCCTAAACCCTAAACCCTAAACCCTAAACCCTAAACCCTAAAGCCCTGAAATGATGAGGCCTCGGAGGTCTCAAGCAGCCGTTGCGGGCCGCAGCGGAGTAGCTCCGGCATCGGCACCTGCGAAGCGCAACGACATCCTCGGGGCCGCTGGGGTCTTGGGTTTTTGGGGTTTAGGGTTTTTGGGGTTTAGGGTTTAAGGGGTTTAGGGTTTAGGGTTTAGGGTTTAAGGGGTTAGGGGGTTTAGGGCTTAGGGTTTACGGTTTATGGTTTACTGTGACATTTGAGAGTTTCCGAAAATAGATGGGGTACCTTATTTTGGGGTCCGTATACTAAGGATCCTACCGTTGGGGGTACTATATTGGGGTCCCTTATCTCGGAAACCCCATTTAGGCATCGCTCCACGGCTTTGTTGGTTTCCAATCCAGGGCTTTATGGTGTGTGGTAGAGTGGTATGAGGACTTGGGTTCAGGACTAACAGAAGAAAAGCTCCTTCGAGGGCTCGTTTCAGGGTTTCCTGCACGGTTTCTCTAAGGCTTCTACCACCGTCTGCTCGTGGTTTAGGGTTTCTGGCCGTGGGGTTTGGGGTTTCGGGTTTAGGGCTATCGGTTGATATGGTTTTTAAGGGTACCCTTACGACATCATTTGGCTATCTACTGCAAGTATGAGTTTTTGGGTGCCTTGTCGAGGTTTTTTATACACGTCTTGTAGACGCATTATCAAAGCGTTTAGGGTTTAGGGCTTCGGGTTTAAGGTTTGGGGTTTATGGCTTATAGGGGTTCGTCATTCTTAGGTCCGAGGGTTTTAGAAAGGCTTTGCCAAGATTTCAGAATTTCATCAGAGATGGTGATGCAACAGTGTTTATTGTTCTTGGGGTTTAGGGTTTATGAGAACTTATGAGGGTTTATAGCCCATTATGCGGGCTTATGAGGGTTTATGGTGGTTCCAGGGTTCGGGATTTCAGGATTAGGGTTTGGGGTCTTCGGATCCCTTGCAGCCCCAGACTTTAAATCCTGCGGTCCAGTATTCATACAGACAGACAGATAGACGGGTTGAGGTCTAGGGGTTTTGCATCCATCCATCCGTCCAACCATCCATGCATACATGTATACGTACATGCATGCATACATACTGTAGGTGCACCCTAAACCCTAAACCCTAAACCCTAAACCCTGAACCCTAAACCCTAAACCCTAAACCCTAAACCCTAAACCGCATACACATTAGCTAGCATTTCAGATCCACACACTCGGCACGATACCGCCTCCAGCGTTTGCAGCGCCTGGAAACGTTCTTCGTTGCAAGGTGCTGCGAGGACCTTCAATTCAAGCTGCCAGGTTTTAAGTGTCTTGATGTCAGCTTGAAGCCATAATGGTCTTGACGATAATGGGGTTGCAGCAATAGTTAGCATGCGAAACCACAGGCTATGACAACAAGGAGTCAAGAGTAGTAGCATCGCAATATTCTGATAGTCCAGCTCAGCGGATAGTTCTACTGGATCGGTGTCCCACATTTTCACGCATGTATCAAAAAACTTGGCCCTGGCAGCGCCTACCGTGAGATGTTCAGTCGAATACTCAAGACAGGAACGGAGCCGCCTACCCGCAGGTGACATCCATACATCAATGACCCAGACGGTCCATATATGATCCCGGTTCGGCCGGTCCCCCCCCCCTCCCCCCCCCCAATGGTTCCTCCTTCCCCTCCCTGTGGTGTGGTGTGGTT